GTCAAGTAGACAGCAGTAAGAACAGATGTTAAGGACCTTGGTTTGTATCGGTCAAAGAACCCATAGGGTTCCTCACAAGGGGTAACACTCAACACTACGGCCAAAAGTTAGGCATACAAAGTAAGCTTTTAGGAAACAAGACCTTAGCAAGGCAGAAGAAAAAAACAAACAATACTTAGTGTTGCAATTCGAACAGCAGATTTATTTTGGTTGCTTTATTGCCCCCATGTAGAAGGCACAACAGAAAATCCCAAGTCTGCGAGGGGTTCCTCCGAATTATACAGTGAGTATATAACAACAGGTTTATAGCTGTTTTACCACTACACTTAGCCTGTAAAAAGACACTTGGCTGAAGGACATTTAAGATGTTTTGGTATTTATATTTTTGATAACAGTAACAGTATGAACATAAATTAAGGGCAACAGAAGGGTTGATATTATAATATATAATTTAGATTATATATATCGATGTAACTGAATGTGAATTTGCTGTGATCTATTAAACATTCCGTCTCCAGATCACAGGACATGCTAAACTTTGTCAACTAAGTGTCGTAGTTGGTTGGCTTTTCTGATACAGGCAAACAACTTTAATAATTCTATGAGTGTGTGAAGGGTAGGGCAGCACAGTCTGTATATAGAAGGTGACAATTGGGGAACCGGCTTTGATAATTGATGTGTGTAATAGAATTTACCCTTATTGGTATGCGTAATAGAATTAAACCTAATTGGAGTGTGTAATATAATTTACCCTTATTGGAGTGTGTAATAGAACTAAACCTTGTTGGAGTGTGTAATAGAATTAAACCTTATTGGAGTGTGTAATAGAATTAAACCTAATTGGTATGTGTAATAGAATTAAACCTAATTGGTATGTGTAATATAATTAACACTAATTGATGTGTGTAATGGAATTAACACTAATTGGTGTGTGTAATAGAATTAACACTAATTGATGTGTGTAATAGAATTAACACTAATTGATGTGTGTAATAGAATTTACCCTTATTGGTATGTGTAATATAATTAAACCTAATTGGAGTGTGTAATATAATTAAACCCAATTGCAGTGTGTAATATAATTAAACCTTATTGGTATGTGTAATATAATTAAACTTAATTGGAGTGTGTAATAGAATTAAACCTTATTGGAATGTGTAATATAATTAAACCTTATTGGAGTGTGTAATATAATTAAACTTAATTTGAGTGTGTAATAGAATTAAACCTTATGTGAGTGTGTAATAGAATTAAACCTAATTGGTATGTGTAATATAATTAAACCTAATTGGTATGTGTAATATAATTAAACCCAATTGGAGTGTGAAATAGAATTAAACCTAATTGGAGTGTGTAATAGAATTAAACTTAATTGGAGTGTGTAATAGAATTAAACCTTATTGGAGTGTGTAATAGAATTAAACCAAATTGGTATGTGCAATAGAATTAAACCCAATTGGAGTGTGAAATAGAATTAAACCTTATTGGTATGTGTAATAGAATTAAACCTAATTGGTATGTGTAATAGAATTAAACCATATTGGAGTGTGAAATAGAATTAAACCTTATTGGTATGTGTAATAGCATTAAACCTAATTGGTATGTGTAATATAATTAAACCCAATTGGAGTGTGAAATAGAATTAAACCTTATTGGTATGTGTAATATAATTAAACTTAATTGGAGTGTGTAATAGAATTACACACTCCAATAAGGTTTAATTCTATTACACACTCCAATAAGGATTAATTCTATTACACACTCCAATTAAGTTTAATTGGAGTGTGTAATAGAATTAAACCTTATTGGTATGTGTAATAGAATTAAACCTAATCGGTATGTGTAATATAATTAAACCTTATTGGAGTGTGTAATAGAATTAAACCTTATTGGTATGTGTAATAGAATTAAACCTAATCGGTATGTGTAATATAATTAAACCTTATTGGAGTGTGAAATAGAATTAAACCTTATTGGAGTGTGTAATCGAATTAAACCTTATTGGAGTGTGTGATAGAATTAAACCTAATTGGTATTTGTAATAGAATTAAACCTAATTGGTATGTGTAATCGAATTAAACCTAATTGGTATGTGTAATAGAATTAAACCATATTGGAGTGTGAAATAGAATTAAACCTTATTGGAGTGTGTAATCGAATTAAACCTTATTGGAGTGTGTGATAGAATTAAACCTAATTGGTATTTGTAATAGAATTAAACCTAATTGGTATGTGTAATCGAATTAAACCTAATTGGTATGTGTAATAGAATTAAACCCAATTGGAGTGTGAAATAGAATTAAACCTAATTGGAGTGTGTAATAGAATTAAACCTTATTGGAGTGTGTGATAGAATTAAACCTAATTGGTATTTGTAATAGAATTAAACCTAATTGGTATGTGTAAGAGAATTAAACCTAATTGGTATGTGTAATATAATTAAACCTAATTGGTATGTGTAATAGAATTAAACCATATTGGAGTGTGAAATAGAATTAAACCTTATTGGAGTGTGAAATGGAATTAAACCTTATTGGAGTGTGTAATAGAATTAAACCAAATTGGTATGTACAATAGAATTAAACCCAATTGGAGTGTGAAATAGAATTAAACCTTATTGGTATGTGTAATAGCATTAAACCTAATTGGTATGTGTAATATAATTAAACCTAATTGGTATGTGTAATAGAATTAAACCCAATTGGAGTGTGAAATAGAATTAAACCTTATTGGTATGTGTAATAGCATTAAACCTAATTGGTATGTGTAATATAATTAAACCCAATTGGAGTGTGAAATAGAATTAAACCTTATTGGTATGTGTAATAGCATTAAACCTAATTGGTATGTGTAATATAATTAAACCCAATTGGAGTGTGAAATAGAATTAAACCTTATTGGAGTGTGAAATGGAATTAAACCTTATTGGAGTGTGTAATAGAATTAAACCTTATTGGAGTGTGTAAGTAAAAGGTTGGTTAGCTTGTTTTGTGTTACTTCATATTATTTGCGAATCAAACTTTTCGCCTAACACCTGTCCCGGATTGTTACCTTTCACGAGGGTGCTATCCTTACGTCCGAGTTTAACTTTACCATGAACATACAGACCCCTTATGTCCTGACCTGAACTTGAACTAGGGTTCCAATACGTGCTTAACTCTCACATTTTGCATACACACTCCTCAAAGTTCATACATTATTACCTTGAATATTATTATTTATTTTTT